CGATCTATTAGCCAAGCCATTGCCACCGCTGCTGCCACATATGGCTCACGTTGGCGGCGCTGCGTCTGCTGTCTTCAGCTCCGTCGGCCGCCAACCGGCTGAGCAGCAAGCAGTCGTCACCCATATTGGTCAGCTTATGCGCTTACGTAATACCATGTTCGCACGCTTATGCGTCTCTTGTGGTGGCATGCCTCCGATTGCTTAAGTTGAAGCTTTAATTAAAAACTCATTTGCATGCGAATTCTGCGCCACCCGCGTAAAGCAAAGGTACTGTTATGCGCCTAACAGTATGGAAGTAGAAAATTTAAACAGTACTTAAAGAAAAATAATGCATTAACTAGAACGCTAATGTCGTAATATACGGTTCTTATTGTTCTCGCTACTCAATGCTCAAATTTGCACATTCTCAGAGTTGTTAGTGTTTGTGTGAGTTTATCAAAAGTCATAAATACTCATAAGCGCTTTATACTTGTTCTAAGTCTGACTTGTCCAATGTGTTTCCTGTGAAAATCGCAAGAATTTCATTTCCGCTCAGCCATTCAGAAGGCAGACACTTGACAGGTGTTGCGAAACCTGTTAATTTTCCGTCCTAAATTTTAAGTCGAGTGGTTGTGAATGCAATGCCACATCTAATTAAATAATTCAAGGTAATTTCAATTGTACTTGCTCTATACAAGAAAATTAACGTTTTTATTTTTGACTTTATATTTGATTTTTTTTTTGTTTTTTGCTTGAAATTACGCAAGTGAAATACATAAACTCAAAAAATTCTCAGCTTACACAGCCGAATTGATTTTGCGGGAAGAGGTGGCGCGTGTCGATTCTCTTTTAACGAGTCTTTTCCAAGTTTTGATGTATGGTAAATATCTGGTCAGTTCTTGATTTTCCAGTTCTATAGCCACACTGGTAGTTGAGGGTAGGCTTTAACCTTTAACACAGTACGCCCGATAGAACTTTATATGCGATGTTGAGGAGGCTTATCCCACGGTAGTTGGCGCAGATTGTGGGGTCTTAGATTTTTTGGTTTCGCCACAAAAAACTTCAATTTCAATCAGTGGACGTGTTTTCGTCTGACCATATTTTACAAGGGAGCTGATGCATGCTCCTTATCAGTTCTTTGCAGCCGTGTTTGAATAGCTCGGCCGGTAATCCATCAGTCCCCACCGCTTAGAATGTTCTTCGGACAGGTAATTGCTTTTTGCACTTTTTCATGGTCGGAAAATGGATCGTCTGCTTCATCGTCATCGATGGGGCAATCGGGTTCGACATCTTGCTTTCACTGCCATTCATCAGACTGAATTATGTTCTCTCCACAGTTTCATTATGCTCTGGGCATCAATCACTAGATTAAATTTTTTTTTTGTTCTACGAGAGTATGCTACGGTCTTGAAACCTTCTGTTATATGAAAGCAACTTTTTGTGAAAAGAACAAAACAGCCTCGGATGGGAGACCGTCGTCATAATATCTATTGTTTAAATATTTTTAACGATCGCCTAATGATTGCATTGATGTCATTATTTGCAAATCGCCACCTTAAGGATTTCACTATCATCTCCTTTTCCTCTCGGCCATAAATAAAGCAAGAATGATTCCAATTATCTCTTCGGCATCTGGCAATATGGGATTAATGGAGTTGCAGATTGCAATTTATGAATTTACGGCTAGTCAGATTTCGGACTATTTGATTTCACAAGCTACGTATAAATCTTGTTTAAGCCAGGATAATAATAAAATTATCAGAAAACGCTATACTCAGGTGGCATTTCCAGAAGCACAAGTATGAGAGGATTGTCTTTTTAAAGTTTAACTGCAAATGCAAAAAGCGAACTGATGACTCTGCTTTTGTTTATAAAGCCATGTGTACCCATGAATAAGCGACTTTTATGACCGTTTTAATTTCCTTTGGATGAATGCAAGAATATTTTATCTTTGATCAAGTCACTAATAAAATCGCGCTTATGTGTATTTTAGTGTATATATATGCACAAAAAATTAAATATAACGCAACGAATAATATGACTTCAACTTAATTGCTGCAAAAAACTCGCTGAGGTAAATGTCAGACATTTTTGTGTCATGATTCTTCCGCCGTTTCTTGAGCAATTTTATGAATCATATGAAAATTTAATGGCTCTGACCGCCGCAGCAATTTCGATAAATTGTTTGTTGTTAAAGGTGCCCATGTATGTGTCTCAATATGAGAACATTAGATTGGGGCATATTCAATAATAAAATCTTTCTCAATTTATTAAGATTTTTTCAACGGAATTTGATTGGGCAAATAAATAGAGAAAAAGTAGAGAAGAGGCAAATGAAAATAATTATTTAGTGATAGTTTGTAAACAATATATTGGGTAGTCGAAAAAGTCTTTTCGTATTTTGTAAATAGATGTCATTGCAGTCGTATATCTCCAGTGCTACCAATCACATTGTATTATAACATATAGTGTTTGAAAGGTGAAATTTGGATAAGTTGGAAAAAAAAGTGAAAATTTTGAAGAAATTCGCTATATTTTGAAATTTTTGTATTAAAATGGAAAGAATGCCACGCAAGCCACAAATAAAATGTATGAAGTTTACAGAGACGAAGCTGCATCACTTCGTTGGACCGAATTGACATCTGCAATTCTTTGCTGAAACGAAATGAAATCGAACCATTACTGAAGCGAATGGCAACAGGAGACGAAAAGTGGATCAAATACGACAACAATGTGTGAAAAAGATCATGGTCCAAGCGTGGTGAAGCTCAACAAATGGTTGCAAAGCCAGAATTGACGCCTCGAAAGATTATGCTGAGTGTTTGTTGGGATTGGAAAGGAATCATCCACTATGAACTGCCCCAGCCTGAACGATTGATTCTGATTTTACTGTCAATAACTGATGAGATTGAAGCAAGCAAGCAATCGAAAAAACGGCCAGAACTGATCAACAGAAAGGACTTCGACTACCATCAGTACAACGCTAGACCACACACATCTTTGATGACTCGGAAAAAACTGGAGGGCTTGGCCGGGAAGCATCCACCATATAGCCCTGCCCTTACACCATTGGACTACCATTTGTTTCGGTCAATGGAAAACCACCCTTAATGGAGTAAAACTGGCTGCAAGAGAAACAGTGAAAATTACTTGCCGCAGTTTTTCGCCGAGAAACCAGAAAAGTGACACTGACGGAATAATGTCTCTAGTGAGAAAATGCCGAAAAGTGGTCGACCAAAATGTTACATATTATTTTATTTATTTATTATTATAAATATGAAAAATTACGAAAAGACTTTTTCGACTACCCAATAAATAAGGCTGGTCGAAAAATATAACGGAAAAGAGCGAACATTTTAGGAATGTATACTAATGTCTTTGCGGTTCTAGTGTCATCGATTTTTAATGTAAGCGAATCTAGAAGAGACCTTACTGCTAGGTAACTTAGTTAGATAAACTTTAAACCTTGGGTTCACTGGTATTCCAACTTCATTGCTTCAAAATAAGATGCCTTTTAGGGATTCTCGAAATAGTCTTATCATGTTTATGTGTTATTATTTGAGATTTTCAAAGCAGAAAAAGTGCTAAATCTATAGAATATGTTGGATAAAGAAGTCTGATAAATAAGGTAATATTTGTTATAACAAGAGCAATTATAACTTAGTTCGTTAATCTTTTCTGCAAACAAACCCAATTTTTTTCGTTTTTGCACACACGTAGATAACTAAAAACATACATAAGTACATATAGGCATATTGAAGTTTTCTCCAAACAAATTGTTATAAATAATAAGATAAATACTAACTGATAAGGAATTTTGCTCACCGCGCAGCAGAGTTCAGGTAAAAGCCTAAATAAGCAACTACAACAACATTTAATGAATAAGCAACCACAAATAAAACAGTTAGCCAATAATACCTTATACGCGCGTGCGCACCAGCAGCACAACGCCATAAGCGTGTATTACTTATAAAGGCAGGTAAATACATACTTCTACAAATATATTTATACACACATGTGTATATGTACATCGGTTTACCATTTATGTGAACTTCTGCACAAAGAAAGTCTGAAAGCAAAGACCAGACAAGAAACTCGCAAACTCAAACTCTGCAAATTCTAACTGGATTTCATGTTAAAACGCCGAAATGCACGGTGTCACGTGTCTTTTATGAGTTTAATCAAGTGGAAGCTGGGCGCCAAGCGCTTACCAACGTTCTTTGTTTGCCATATGTTTTGAGTGTTTGAGCCCGCGTAGCCAGCTGCTTGACCCATTTCGCGTTTTGTTGTTGTTTTCCAATGAAAAACTGTTAACGGAAAGTAAAATTAGATGCAGAACGGACCGGGAGAGTTGCTAATTTGTAATGCTCTTGGCGCATTCGCTGTTGCCTCCGCTTCTGCGTTCTGTGTTCTGCGAAGGAAAAGTAATGAATATTTTTGCTAGGGTTCATTAGAAATGCTAGAAAAGCGCGTTTATATAACTGATGATGTGTTGAGCGCGTATTAAAATTACAATGTATACTTTCAGAAACCCAGCACTAGCGCCCTGCAACACTACTTTCGTCGTCATGAGAAATAATGTCCGCTTTTTATGGGTGCCTCACTAACGCGCCATGAACAGGTACCTGCCACCAAAGTTGTAATTATGATATATCGCAACAAAAAACATGCAGAACCGTTGGTAAAACCGCTTCTAGCCCCAAGCTGCAGTTAGTGTGAAAAACGCCAGCAACGGTTATAACAAAGTGCTTTAAAGTGTTCTTCTCTAAACGGTCAACTTTTTCTTAACGGACTTTGTCTTCGATTTTTTTTTGGTTTACGTGGTATTACACAAGAAATTTATAGTGTGTGAAAATCTTAATGAAGCTTCTTTTTGCGCTTTGTCAATATAAACGGTTTTTTTTTTTTTGTCGTAGTTGTTAAGTAATATTTTTTATTTTTATACACAAATTTTAATGTGAATATTTTTATGTACTTTTTTATATAATATTTGACTAAAATATTTTTATTCTTCTTTGCAGACAATGGAATTAAGCAATTTCAATGCATCGAAAAAGATATCGCGCGAGGAGCGCCGATATTCAGTACCTCACGGCCCCCATACACCACAGCCGCCAGCGGCCTCAGAGGACTTGCATGCCTGGTCGATATATAGGTAAGCTAATTTCATAACGAGTGGATTCAGGGAGTATATTTAGAAAGTATGCGGAGCTTTAGTAACCTAAAACAATGACGCAAAATGTAAAACCTAAATTAAATGTAGATAATGATATCAGATTATTTCTACGGGGAAATAACCACACACTTTCATTTTATAACGATCCCTTGCATCATGAAGTCGCCAAACTGAACTCTGCCGACTTCTTCTCTGCCCACATACAGGTCAGGGAGTTGTGATTGGGAAGGCAATGATATTCTTTATGGGTGGGTCAAAGCTTATTGTCAGCTCTCTATCATCTCCAGCTTCAGACTTTCTGACTATTGCAGTGTTTTCCAAGCCGAGGTTGCAGACTTAAGGCAGCAATAGATTTACTGCTCTGTAAATGTAACAGAGCGGGATACTAGCCTTGAACTCATTTATAGTGGGGTAAAAGTTAGTCAAGGAGTGTCTAACTTCGTTATCAAAAGCATCGAGTGTCTTTGTTATAAGATTGTTATGGATGCCAGGTCTCTGCGATATCGCAGGAAATGGTAAAGCTGATGAGCTAGCAAGGAAAGGCACTCTAGAACCGATTTCGGTATGGGAGCGGGTCGGAGCTCCCGTATTCAGTATCTTTATATGCGCTGTCGCAAATGAGTTTTGGCCCAAGTTCGATCCCAAGAGATCTAGTTTGCCCGCCTTAAGGCGAGCCTCTTCCCAGATGTGGTGTTTTAACAGGCCATTGACTATTTGTGTTTGGCAGCTTGTTGTGTCTTACCATGGGGTTTTTTGAAAATTTATACTTTTAGTGGAATAATAACTACAGAGTCATTAAACATTTTTAGAGAATTGTTTTATGGCGTCTACTTAATCACAATCACAAGTATTTGAGTGACATAAAGCACTCAGTGAAGGTCCCGAAATTATCGAAAACTATACGAATCGTCCATCCACCCCTATTAGTGGTGATAACATCGAAAATGTTAATTAAGCAGTGTTTTTGCTGGTAACTGTACAATCTAGCGATGGGTGCTCCAAAAAACAGCCGAAACTGAAATACTTAAAATTCACTAAAGCAAATAAAGGCCATACGAGCCGCGGCTTATAACAAGTAAACGTACGCCATGCTTGTATTGTATTTTTTTGACAGTCCGAGTCAAACATGATCAGATAGTATATAACGTGAAATCCACCATCAAGAGATACATTATTTTTAACTCGGTTGTCGGTACAACAATGTTCGGTTAAATTGTAACATATCATTCCTTAAGCTGGTACAGGCAATTAAGGAACAGTGGTCCGCAGCATCACTTACATATGTATTGACTTTCCATATTTAACATTCCGCTTTTGAAATGATATACGTCACTGCCAGCCTTGTACTAAAGCTACCTTACCTTTACCGAAAAAGTGTCAAGTAAAAGCCACAAAACCGATAAAATCTTTAAGAACTTTAAAAATCTAAGTTAAATTTCCAAGGAAGACCTGAAAAAAAATTTAATCTTAAGTACATATAAAAATCTCCGTCTTAATGGGTACTTAAATCCAAGGTCTCTCACTACAACTCCATATAGAAATGCTCTACGATATTCTCTAGTATTTATATCAATTCCTATATAAAGCATACAATTTGAAACTGACAAATAATCCGTCTTTATTTGAACGCTTCGTACTCCAAACTTTTGACATTAATTCTCGTAAAAAAATTGCTTCAATCTATTTCGGTGTAAGCCCACCTGTCACATGACGTGTACATATGTATTTTACTCTATTACTTATTTCCGCTGGTGCGCACACAAATCGAAAAATAGGACTGAGTGGTCTCATTGGTATGTGGGCTGCAACGCCCGCAGACGAAGCTTCGTCGCTGCATTCTGCGGTCGAGTAGCTTGCTTAGGCGGAAGTGCTCATAAATTAACATTGATTGATTTTTGACGTTAAATCAAAACCGTTGAGCCGCAAGAGCCAATGTCAGGTAGCGCTTGAACGCATCACAATACAGCACACCACACCTTCCATGGCTGCCCGTTTAGGCATTTTGTTGAACGCCAAGCCCTTGCAACCTCAACCAACCTCAACACATTTCTCTTTTTTTTTGTCATTGCACAGCAAAACCCGCCAACAGCTCATTGCATTTACGGTTATAATAAAAAAAATCCATAATGTCATAGAAAACCGCACACAAAGCTTGAATTAAATGTAATTTTCCTGCGCATTGTTCCGCTCTTCTTCTTACAATTGCAGACAAAATCTCAACTCCGACTTCACCGATTCCGCTTTGGGCTCATCGGACAAATCACCGCTGCCATATGGAAATTTCCAGCTACGCGACACCACAGTGCAATCAATTCTCAATCATCCGCGGTACGGACCGAAGTAAGTTCTCACTGCGATGACAGTCAAACCAAAAGCTAAAACTTAACAACTTTTTTACTTTCTGCTTTCATAGATCCCCCTTGGGATCAAATATGTATACATATTTGAAATTCGGACTGCCGCGCGTATTTCCACCGAATGCCGGTTCGCAGCGTTCACACCGACCGCCGGGACCAGGACCGGGTGGCGTGCGTGGTCGTGTTAATCGTGGCTTCCGCGATAGCTCAGGTGTGCCGCCAGCCGGTTCATCTGGCTACGATAGCAGTGACAACGAAACAACGCGCAGCCGAGTGCCGCCCAACTTGAGGTGAGCTCATTGGGGAAATTACAAAATCCCACCTTTACAAATATATTTTACTAAATTACATGTTATTCCTTATAGAAAATACCGCAGTGAGTCGGACTTCCGTGCCATTGGCGGCATACCAAGCTCACGTCCCGAATCGCGCGCACAGGGCGTACCCATGACGGCGCTGCGACAGGCGAACAGTCGTGCAAGCATAGCTGGTAAGTGTTGTTTACTTTATCGATTCGCCTCTTTTGGCATGCCAGTGCTAATTTTTCTATAATGGCTACTACTTTCCTCTGATACCCGCATGACAGTGGGCACACACATCAATACTCATCACTATATGCCGAATGGCAAGCATTACGGTCATCGTTCGCACAGTGAAGCCGATTTGTTGGCCGGTGGCGCTGACGTCATCGGTTATGACTACGGCGAGTCACGTATCTATGGCACATCGCGCAATCGTAGTTCAGACCATCCGAACGGTGGACACGCCAGCTACATTATGTCCAGCCGGAAACATTCGAGTATCGGACTTGTCTATCCCAATATACAGGTGCACTGTCTGGATGTGAATCCATGTCTACGCGGAGTTTCACTACAAGCAAAGGCCGGCGATTTGTTCGCCATAATGGCAACGTCGCAACGTGAAGGCACAGCGTTGACGGAGTGCTTGGCGGGCTTACACGAGCGCATGGGTGGTGAAATTCTCATCAATGGCCAACAAATCAATAGACGCGGTTTACGTGAGCTCTGCAGTTATGTGCCGGCGTTGAAAGTATCCTCGCTGGATCCGCGTATGAGCGTGCAATGTACTTTGAATTTCCATGCCGCATTAAGAGGGCCGCTTGATCGAACGGACCTCAAGGAGCGGGTAAGTGTGTGAAGTAGAAATATTTTAGAAAAGTAGCAAACTAAGTTAACTCTTTTCATATTAGATGGATGTGCTAATCGAGGATCTCGGTTTGACTACCGTGCGCGCCTCGAATGTCTCTTCACTCACACACTCCGAGAAGCAGCGTTTGAGTGTCGCTTGTCAATTGCTTGCACAGTCGTCACTGCTCATACTCGATCAGATTACTAGTAATATGGACATATTCGACACATTCTTTCTGGTGGAATATTTGCGACAATGGGCTAGTGGTGGTCGTATTGTGATCATGACACTACAGCCACCCACATTCGAAATACTCTCAATGTGTTCCAGTGTACTGTTATTATCAGGTGGGCGTACGGTGTTTTCCGGCAGTCGCTCCGACTTGCCACGACATATGGGGGAGTTGGGTTATCCTTGTCCGCCCTTCAAAAACCCAGCCGATTACTATTGTAAGTGATGATTTCAAACAAAAATTTATACATCTACTAACACGCTATTTCATTGCAGTGGATTTAGTTACATTGGATGACCTGTCAGCTGCTGCCATGCTGGAGTCATCGGCACGCATCGAATCATTAGCCAACTCGTGGGATCAAATCAACTCCGAACCACCGCTAGCCGCGCCACCGGCATCATTGCCCAACTTCACAAGGAAAGCGGGTTTCTGGGGACAGACGAAAGCTTTAATAAAACGCTTTGCCGCCTACAAGCAACCGGGTTCGCTGCTCACCTGGATCAGTAAGCTGATTGCGGCGGCTTTGCTTTCGCTTTGCATCGGTTGCATTTTCTGGGATGTGCCCGCTTCAGATGCACAACTTACTTACAACGATCGCTTTGGTTATCATCACTGCGTCATGGCGGTGGTCTACTGGCCATTGCTGCTCTTGACCATACGCGATGCGCAAGAGGATCGACGACATGCCGAGCGCGACATACGCTTGGGTCTCTACTCGCGTGGTCTCTACTTTACAATACAGGTAGGTTCAATTTTTCTGGTTGCTGTAGCATAGTGTTCTCTAAAGAAGACTTCTTGCGTTCACAGTGCTTATTGGGGCTGTTTCCGAGTCTTTGCATCTGGCTGGCTTACTTGCTACCGGCGCACAGCATGGCCGGGTTGTATACATATTCGACCAGCAGCGATGCCGGCATCTATCTCTATATGGGTAAGCTTCACGTTTGTGCTTAAGGGTGTGAATGTTCATTTAATCTTTGCTCTCGTAGGCTACATGCTGCTCTATCTCACCGTCATACAAACACTTGGCCTCTTCTGCGCTCACCTAATGCCCTGCAAGGTGTCTGCTAGCATTTTCAATGCACTTATCACACTAGGTCTGACTGCTGTGGGCGGCTATGCCGTGCATCCGCGCGATCTCTCGAAATTGTGGTCCTGGTCACAGCTTATATCACCCGAGAAGTGGTTGCTGCCTGTTCTGGTGCAGGATGAATACAGCGCAGACACGCTAACCAACTCGGCGGGCCTACAGCTCTGTCGCAACAAGCAGGTAAGTGTGGGGCTTAGCAGTTAAGACTTGATTCCGGCAACAAGTTAATGAATTTTGCTTAAATTTTCTGTTTTGCAGGTGCAACATCAGGAGATCATTGTGCAGCAACCGTGCCCACCACCGAACGGCACCCATGTGCTGGCCGATTTTCAGTTGCTGCCGCGCAATCATATACTCGATCCGAGCGAGACGTACGAGCAGACCACCACACTCGCTTTGGTGCTGGCCTCGGTCATATTGTTCGTGGTGACGTTTTTCGTTTTCGTGTGCAATTGTCGCAGTACTTTCCGCAAGAAGCAGAAGCGCATGTAAAGCATTTTTTGAAAAAAAAAAAAAAAAAGTTTTTGAAAAAAATTAAAAAAAAAAGTTTTTGAAAAAAAGTTTTTGAAAAAAATTGAAAAAAAAGGTTTTGAAGAAAATTAAAAAAAAAAAAAGTTTTTGAAAAAATTTTTTAAAATAAATAAAAAAAAAAATTTAAAAAAAAAATTGAGAAAAACAATTTTGAAAAAAAAAATTTTGGAAAAAGAGTTTTGAGCAAAATTGTTTTATCAAAAAACAAAAAAAAGTTTAAAAATGTAGTGCATAATGAACGTTAGCTAAGTGCTAAAAAATAAATATATTTTTACGCTGACTTCCATAGTTTGTAGCAGAATACGCACATTTTAACAACGCATTTACCGACGTAATTACTATAAATAGATATGTATGCTAATTGAGTAACGATTATTTTTAAAAATATACTAAATAAATTTAGCCAACGCGTTCCAATTGAACATGATTAAGTGCGATGCGATGTTTATACAGCAAGTATGTATGTATGTATGACTACAATATTAACGTACTTAATTCTTCTTAGAGATAAGCGCTTAAGTTTTATGTATAAATAGCGTCAAAAGGAAAATATATAAATATCTTAATAAATTTAGAATAAACGAAAGAAAGTGTTGTCAATGAGCGCGCAAATGATAAGCCGTTTGTCTGGTTTAGAAAAATACGTCTGTATGTATATTTATATATTGTAGATTTCCAATGCTTATTGTCACTAAGAGGATTATGCTTTGCTTGCTAAATAAAATGTAGTATTTCTTATCAATGATGGAATAGACGCAAGTTCGTATGAGCCAACACAATGCCGTGTTCATTGCAGGCCTCGATAACGCCAGCATCATTGGTGGAACCAGCCGGACTGCCGATGTATGATACGCCACTCTATATAAATAAAAACAACAACAACAAATTTAGTATTTATCGCATATAGCAACAACTGCGCATGCTTACCAATCTGGCGCGATCGATATTATCACGGAATGGGAAGAAGGCATCGGAACCCAAAGAAACACCGTCCAACTGCTTAAGCCAATCTGCCTTCTCTTGCCCGCTCAACTGTGGTGGCACCTCCTCAAACCTGCAGCGTCGTTACAAAAACAATAATTACTTAAATATATTTTTTTAAATATTTACAAAAACTTACATCGCTTCGAACTGGCTGAGCGGCATGTCCTTGCCTACGGTGCCGTTCACGTAGTTGTCGATGGCATTCGAGATTTCCGCGCGCTTGACGCCCGACTTGAATTTCATGCCGGCGACACGTGGGTGTTGACGCAGCCACCAATTATCGGCCTTTTCGCCAGCCAAACGTGTGCAGTGTATGCGCGACTGCTGACCGGCGCCAATGCCAATAACTTGGCCATCGCGTGCATAGCACACGGAATTACTTTGCGTGAACTTCAGCGCGATAGTTGCGACAATTAAGTCGCGTACGGCATTCTCAGGTAGAGTGTTGAGCTTCGTGACGACATTGGCGAACAGTGAGGCATCGATAACGGCATCATTGCGTTTCTGTTCCAGCGTTAAACCGAAGATGGTTTTGCGTTCCAATGTGCTTGGCTCATAATCGGGATCCATCTGTGACATAAATTAGCATTGAAAGCAATTATGGCATATTCAACGCTGAAACTTACCTGTAGAATGCAGTAACCGCCGTTTTTTTTCTTCTTCAATAACTCCAACGCGGCTGGCTCATAACCGGGCGCAATAATACCATCTGACACCTCACGTGAAATTATACGCGCAGTCACCACGTCGCAAATGTCGGAAAGCGCAACAAAGTCACCGAATGAGGACATGCGATCGGCACCGCGCGCACGCGCATACGCGATGGCCAACGGTGTCAAGCTGTCATACAGATCGTCTACCATGCATAACTTGGCTTGCTCACGACTCAATGGTGTGCCCACGGCTGCGCCAGCCGGTGAGACGTGCTTGAAACTGGTCGCGGCCGGCAGATTTAGTGCACGCTTAAGTTCGCGCACAAGTTGCCAGCCATTAAGCGCATCACACAAATTAATAAACCCCGGCGAAGCATTGACCACCTTCAGCGGAAGCGATTCGAGTTGTGTGAAGAGCTGTGCGGGTTTCTGGTGTGGATTCATGCCATAACGTAAGTTGAGCTGCGACCCACCTGAAGAATATTGCTTGCGGAAATAATCGGAAATTGCATCGTCGTACGCGGCAGTGTGTGTGAAGGCTTTGAGCGCCAACACTTTTCTAAAATCGAAATACATATGTATGTATGTACATACACAAATATGTTATTTTCAAAATTGGAATTTGAACTAGCCGACTCTTACCTAGTGTCCAAAGTAGTATCGCCATGCTCCTTGATTTCGCCGAGCACCTTGGCATAATCGCTAGCCTCGCAGATGACCGTGACACGAGCATGATTTTTAGCTGCCGCACGCAGCAGAGTGACGCCGCCAATATCGATATTCTCAACAGCATCGGCCACTGTCACATCAGGTTTGAATACAGTGTTTACAAATGGATACAGATTGCACACAACCAAGCTGATCAAGTCGAAGTTTTGCTGTTTCATATCGGCAAGATCGCTTTCTGTGGTGCGCGAAAGTATGCCAGCATGCACGGCTGGATGCAGGGTCTTGACGCGACCACCAAGCATTTCTGGTGCGCCGGTTATATCGGAGACATCATCCACCGCCAGACCAACATTTCGCAAGGCCGTGGCAGTGCCACCACTAGCAACCAGGCGAAAACCAAGCGCAGCAAGACTCTGACCCAAATCGATTAGTCCGGTTTTGTCCGATACACTAAGAAGAGCTGGAAATACATACATATGTTCCAAATGTGACAAAGATTGATTTTTATAAGTATAATTATGTAAATTAATGGACACTCACCAATACGTTTCGCTGCCATTTTCCTTGATGAAGTCTGTAGGATTTGTGATAGAGAATCAGTACCGTTTGCGAACACAGTTCAACTGTAAATAAAAATGATATGAGCTGCGTTGGTTTATTATCAAAGTAAACAGTAAAGATTTGTGTTAATATGTTGGTTACTTTCAGTTGTTATTTAAAAATATTGCAAACAATGACCTGCTTTTAACACACATCATTGCAATTAGTGGAGATAAGCAGTGCGTTGCTTTCCGCCTAATGGGAGATAATTGAGATCTCTGTAATTGACCTCTGATTTGAACCTGAAGTTATCAGTAATGGCCAACGGCCACATCCAAGTGTATATATGTATTCAGGCACGGGCCTACATTTAGCTAACACAAAAGATTCATCCCTTATCTACTACTTTTGTCAGCACTCGGCAACCCCAAATCCTATGAAACACGCTCGCCAACAAGATTTATGTTTGTAAATATGTGTATACACGTGTTTAACTACATATATACGTATGCATGTGCGTATATTCTGATTGTTATTGCTCAAGACTTATTTTCTGCCTTCGCATGCGGCTCAAATTGCTTTGCGTCAATGTAAACATGTGGGTTTCGGAAACTTGTTGCATGCCGCTCTAAACATAACTACAATTAACTTATGATTCTTGGTTTTTTCTGAAATCCTTTTTAAAGTCAGTATAGTGGCCTGGTAAAATAAAGTCGTAACTTGCTGAAAAACTCATATCCGATTTCAAACTTTGTTAGTTATGGCTATAATTTCGATATTATGGTTTCTATTCTTCAATACCAATGCCTCACACACTATAAAATAATTAACTAATGTAACACTAATTAATTATTACTTTTAATATAAAATATTTAGAACTTAATATTACCACTGTCAACCAAGTGCACGTTATGACTGAATTTAATCATTTCTAATTAGACTTTAATAAGTTGAGATTAGTTAGATCGTTAGCGAGCTGCCAGATCATACAAATATGCAGTAAAAGATATATTGGAAAGATATCCTTTATATTAACTCCTCTATCCTTTTTTATATAAATTTTTAAAATAGATTTTCAAAAAAAATTTAAAAAAAAAATGTTCGAATTTGACATATTAACCATTATACCGTCACTACAATTTTGTCGAACACTTTTAAACCATTAGAACAATTATTTAGTATAGTGAAATGTTATAATTTGGATGATGTTCAATTATTTGTTCTTCTAATTTTATTATTAAGTAATATTACAAATTAAAATTTTCGGTTGCAGCAGTTCGGTTTTCGTAACATATCTGCTTTTGAATTATGAACTTATACCAGCTGGCAACACTCAGTTATTAACTTAAGAAACGTCAGCGCTGGTATCAGCTGTCAGCAGCACTGTCAAATTGATCTGATTGGTGATGTGTACTACCTGCTTAAACAATTACTAAATTTCCAATAATTATTCAGGAATTCTCGAAACAAAGCACTGTGCATTTACAAACAGGACGAGATGAACTACAATCCAAACGCCGGGATCCGGAATCGTAAGTGGGAAACCTGTAAGGATGAAGATAGCGCAAGTACAATACGAGCATCCACTTGGTTCAACTGGTGATGACTGCTTGAACTAAACATATCCACAAACGTAGTGGTTTATTGTTCTACGAATTGTTTTGTTTACCTTTAAATTAAATTTTATCTAATATTAACAGTAGTTATCTAGTTTCCTATTTTATAGTTTGCTTGTTTGCTTTATTCGTTGTAATTCTAACATTTAATTTATATATATGTATTTGTGAGTATTTGTTCTGCGCGTTTTCGTCTTGCAGTTTTTATGAAATGACTATGGTATATATATATATTAACATTCTTAATACTTTTTGCAACAAAAGCTCAAGGTCCATCCCGCAAGCCAAAACGTGTGAGTGATATAAACGCCATGGGACCAACGGCTCCAATGAACGCACCGCTGCCTTATATGCAGCCAACAGTTGGAGCACCATTACCTGATCACACGACTGGAGTATCTGTAGGTTATGGCATGGCGCCGCAACATACAGCCACCAACATTGGTGGATTCAACACTGGACCAGCGCCAGTGCAAAATCAAAATTACAGCTATACTGCGCCACCAACTTCGCAGACAACAACATTTGCCACAGCGCCTGCTGCTCAGCCACAGTATGGTGGAAATATGCCAATGAGCGGACCAGGAGCCATGGGTGCAGCACCAGGTGCACAAGGTCAATTTCAAGCAGGCGTACCACAATTTGCTATGTTCCAGCAACCGATTGTGCAAGATATGGCTATGCAATATGGTCAGCGTTTGGCTGATCAAGGCAAGCAGCTGGTGGAGAATCAATTTGAGAAGTGGGTATCAGTTGCGAAATTGAAATATTATTTCGCTGTTGACAACAAATATGTAATAAATAAATTGCGATTACTGCTCTTCCCATTCACACATAAGGTATGGCATAAATATAATACATTTTTGTTTATATTTTAAATAACTAATATAACTTAATCTGTTTTAGGACTGGTCACTGAAGTATGATCAAGAGAATCCTGTACAGCCACGCTATGACATCAATGCACCAGACCTCTATATACCTGCTATGGCTTACATCACGTATGTGGTGGTGGCCGGTCTAATGTTGGGCTTGCAGAATCGTTTCTCACCCGAACAACTCGGCATACAAGCTTCCAGTGCTTTGGCTTACTGTATTTTCGAATTGGTTGTCTATTCGATCACACTGTATGTGGTGAACATAAAAACAAGTCTAAAAACGCTGGATTTACTCTCATTCGCCGGTTACAAATTTGTTATAATCGTAACAAGTTTGCTGGTTAGCACACTTTTCCATGGCGTTGGCTACTACGTGGCACTGCTTTACACAAGTCTTACGCTGGGTTTCTTTCTGGTATGCTGATTATAATTTTATAGCATTGACTTTTTGTAAATATCTCTCTATTTCAACTTCACAGTTACGCACATTAAAGACTAAAGTGCTGCACGATGCTACACCGACAGTCAACAGCGGCGCTATCAACTATGATCCATACGGCAATCCGCAGCAACTCGACTACACTGGCGGTCGAAAACGAAAGTTGTATTTCCTCTTTCTCATTGTAGGCGGCCAAGCATTCTTATCATTTTTATTATCAAAGCACTTGTACTTTCCGGACGCTGCGGTACTAGCCGTTAGAAATGAGCAATTTTAATGCCTAATCGTGCTTATTTTGGTATGACCAGTGTGCGTACTTTTTTTTCAGTTAGTGTTTTTGTTGTAAGCTGCTTTAAAGAAGTAAAACTGAATTTTCGCCTGAAGGTTATGCATAACTAAAAAAAATTATTGTAATTTTATTAACGAAATTAACCTTAAGTTGCCTGAAGTGAAAGTAAACATAACGAAACTTTGCAAAGTAGTGAGGAGTGTGAACAAAAGATATTGGTAGTTTTATAAAAGGAAATACAGAAATCGGCATTTCAACAATAATGTGACAAAAAGAGAGATTACTTAATTAGAAAGCTTTGTCATACGAATATACTTACATACAAACAAATATTAAATTCGATTCCATATACTAAGCATATTTTTGTTAGCGAATGACTAAAATAAAAACGAATGAAACCACATTAAGCAAAAGGTGTTAATCATGTGCAGGTAAATATGATTCATTATTTATCACTACGAGATTTTAATTTTTTTAATTTATAATATTTTTAACTGTAACTAACCGAAAACTTTGAATTCCTCAATATACTCACCACCAAGGTTGCGAATTGTATAATTCTACTTTTGGATTTAAAATTTTCAATTCCGAATTTTGACTTTTCAAAAATTTTAAAATCTAATTTTTAATAAAATTGATTCAAATTTTTAATAAAATTGATTTAAAATTTTTTAATTTGCAATAAAAATTTCAAAATTAGTTTTTAATTCTAAACATCTTGAAATGGAAATTGAAAAAAATTAGAATCTAATTTTTAATAATAATTGATTATTTTTTAATTTTCAATAAAAATTTCAAGATAAATTTTCATTTCTAAACATCTCGGATTGAAAATTGAGATAATTCTTTAATACATATAAATACGTAATTTAAAAATTTTTGGTACAAATAAAAAATATTATTTTTCAAATTCAAATTTGGAATGAAAATGGATACAAAATGAAATATGTTTTTATATATTTCCAACTGAAAAACTATAATTACAAGCAAATTAATGTAAATAGGGCATTAATAGCCAAATTTGTTGATATTTCATTAAAAAAAAAAATATTTTTTTTTAATAATTTATGAACTAGGAACTAAATTCTTTTTACATTTTTTTCATCCGGCATTTGGGATGAAAAAATTAAAAATATTTGTTATTAAGGTTTTCGAGATTATAAAATAAAAAAAAAAACAATTTTTTATGTATTGTTTGCAACCCTGCTCACCGCAATTTACAAATTTTCACACACCAAGCATATGTATATATGAAACACTTTTATTTTGTAATAATAATATTTATTGAATTCTTTAGTCTCTTTAATTATATGAAAACTCTCATCGGATGTTTTGCAAACGCACTTGTATACATATTTACATTTGCATGCACACTACTGTTTACACGTGTATGTATGCAGATTGCATCATCTCACACATGACTATTGAATTTCATTGTGGTCTTCACCGGCATAAACGCTTACATCATTGTCAGTACTAATTTAATTATGTTTTAATAACTTATGCTAGAAAGTATAATGTACGCTTACGCATTCGTATTTGAATTGCACTACAGTACACTTTAATACATATGCATACATACAAGTATGTACAGAAATATTTGTTGTTATTGTTTTATGCATTGCCATATGCTCAATTGTCTATAATAAACTTGCTGTTAATAGTTGCTAGCTTGTTGCTTTATTTGCTAAGTTTTTTTTTATTGTTTTATATAAATTTTTATTTATTTAGTTAGTTTATTTTTAAAGAGTTTCGTAGTTTTTCATTCTTTTAAATGTTAATTTCATTACAATGATGTATTATATATGTGTATGTATGCGTGTGTATGTGTGTAATATTTCAACAAAATTCGCATTGTAATAAGAGTCTAAGATTTCTATAACTATTACTCAACTCAAGAGCGCAGTTGAAGTTTTTTTTCTTACATTCGTTTATTTTCGATTTCAATAAATTAGTCCACACTATTCTGTAAGCAATCAAAGATCATGGTTACACCACTCTATGGTATACATTTATTTAATTAAAAAAAAAAAAAAAATATTTTCCAAGTTTTTAAAATCTTGATATACATGTGTACATATACAAATTTTAATAAAAGTTTGCATTATAATTTTCTCGTTTAATAATTTTTTTTGTTCTTAAAATAATGAAATCATAACTTTGTACACTTTTTACATAAAATTTTGATATCTTTTACATACAACATAATCAAATGAAATATATGTATGTACATATGTACATACAAGTAATAAGACAAATTATTATCGAGGAAGTTTTGTTACGGCTCACAATTTCAACGAAAGGGACTCACTGCTGTGTTTTCACCGCAAAATAGAATATAAATTCATTTAATCGATACTCGCTGGGAGAAAATTTAGCTTTTTTGAAGTTAGCGGAATCGAAGTAAGTGCTGTAACCAGATTTAGCAACTGGAGAGCCGTAATGAGACTACAATAATGATTTATACTTTAACAAAAACAAGAACATGTCGAAAATTTTTGTCCATAGAAATTAAATATGAAGCAATTTAAAAAATTAATAATCAAACACAAAATGGGTTATATCCACCCGACAATTTCAAAAATATATTTGAGAAATCCGAAAACTGAAGGGTGTATTTATATGAATTTTTTAACTTAGTCTAATCAGCTTCCAAAATTTTACACGCATTTTTTCGAGACAATCATTACAAAGTAAGATAAGAAAATTTGTCTGAAATAACAAAACCCTCCTAGAGAATTCTGATAGCTACTGATCGAAACTATAAGATTGACAATCATTTGATTTTTTTTTTAATTTTCTCTAACACTGAAATGTAAATTTTATCACAAAATACGACTTTCTTTTGAAAACCCGCCATTTTGTCAAAAATTATATCAAATTACCAAATCAGGTCTAGGTAATACGGTAGTTAGGCTATGTGAGCAATATCTAAGAAAAAAAATTTACCTGTCTTCCATATAAGTGCGAGATTTAGATGAAGAATTCCCGATAGGGTTGTCAATTTTATAATTATAATTTTGATTTAAAATTTTCAATTCCGAATTTTGATTTTTCAAAAATTTAAAAATTTAATTTTTTATAAAATTGATTTTTTTTTAAATAATTTTTATTATTATTATGATAGTAATATTAAAAAACAAAAAATAAAGCGAAGATTATAAATTACTTAAATTCTGTGAATTAATTTTTAATTTATTTTTTTTTAAATTTAAGCATAACACTAACATACTACGATTCTCATTGTGTTTTCATGAAATTTAGTTATTGTTTTTTTATTATTAAACAAATTCAAAATATGTTGAAATTTACAAAAAAAAAAATTATATATTAAATAAAATGCTTATTAAAACCCGTTTTTTTTTTACTTGGAAGTGAATATAACCCTTTAACCGTTATTTGGCTTGCTTGTCGAAGTTGTTTTATAAAAAAGAAAATAATTTATAAATAATAACAGTAATTTAAACAAATATTGAACTTTCATAACTCAAACTTTTACAACTTAAAATTTTCCCTAACACGTACTCTTGAATTGGAAAAAGGAGTAAAATTTCGTACAAATTTCTTTTCATAACCTGATATCTCTCTCTGGCACGAAGTTATTTTGTGCATTACGGTGATTCGAGTTAGGGAAGTTCAACTGTAAATAATGTTTTCGGCAGTCGGGTCTCCATAAAAGCTACAAGAATAATATTGCAAACAAAAACGAGAAAGTTCCTTACTACACGCAATTAACTGAATTAGAGCACTTGTAGTTGTCGAAAAATGTTGAAAGCCCGTTATTAACGAAAATATTAAGAAGAAGCTAGTTAAATCAAGATTTTAAAGTCACCACAGCACTGTATTTTTTTTATAATTTCTATATTTTTTGTTATCATAAATGTACATACACTTAAGCAAAAACTTAAATAATAAAAAAAAAAAACAGCGTTTAACAATTTTCACACGCGCTTTCGCTCTCTCACGCTCTATCTCCCTGTAATTAACGCTCTTTAACTTATTAACAGTAGCCATACAAATTCACCCAATAAGCAATCGTCGCACGTACCGAACTGCTCCTCGACGAGACGCCACTACATCACCTTCCAACGCACTACAACTAATCAATAAATTTGCAATTTTAATGATATGACTTTAATACATACATAAATAAGAGCATAAAATCAAAAACATATATACTATATATAATATTTATATATAGCATACATACAGTATATACAAACATACAAGTTATATGAATTCATTATTGTTTCTTCTTTTTTGTTTTTGTTTTTGTTTTATATATTTATAACACATTATTAACATAGCGTTGCCCAACATAAACTACTAGTAATGCACATTTTATAATTAAAGCGATTTCTCTAGGATACTAGGATACTACAACATGGAAAATAATATTCAATTAAATTAGTTAAGCAAAAACGGTTCGAAATGATTTGCAATAAACACGGAAACAACAACTTTAACTCGCCGGCAACAACATTAAGTTGCGCTATGTCGGCTTGCAGCGCGAGCCCTGAAGCATTGCTGCGCTGTAGCGCACCTCGACGCAGGAGGAGCAGGAGGCGTGCAAAGCACTGGCTATAACTTTAACAATTAACGCTTTGCGTACTTTGTGACGTGAAATACCTGCAGATGGACACATTTCTGTGTGTGTGAGTGTATGCGGCGGCGTGGCTAATTATGAAATCTATTTAGTTTACTATACTACATTCGATTTGAACAAGCGACTGCTTTTAATCGTTCAAAGTTTCAGTTCTACTGCATTTCGCATATACATACATATATTTTTGTAATATAACAAAATTCACCGCACAAACACAATTACACACTACGAAATAGTCACTAGAAATATATGTACGACTTTGTGTGCACTGAAGTGGACGCTGGAGCGTAGCTGACGCTCCGTACGCTGCTTTCTAAAGCAATCTAAACAGCTTGCTTTTGCCAGCTTCTTTTCTTTCGCTGCAGATTTTTTGTTTAGTGAATTTCTTGTGGGTACGCGTTTGCTATTCGTTATGGTGTGTATGTGTGTAAGTGTGTGCTCACTATTTGCATACCTTAGTATTAAATTAATGTTTTATTTGTTTTTGTTTTCCTGTTTTGTTGTTTCATTCCATTTTCGTTATTTTATATCTTTGTTTTTGCTTTCAACAAGTTGACTTAAAGATTACTAAAAATATTTAATATATTTATATGCATAATAGTATTGTTTTACATACTTTGCTTGTATATATTATATATTTATGCTAATTACAGTGGAATATTTGAAAATAGGTTTATAGTTTTATCGACGTCATTTTAAATGACGTTTAAATGGTATTTTTGTATGTTTTGTTTATATATAAATGTTGCTTCTGATTTTCTTTCTTTTTTTACTTTCCAAGTGTATTTTGCATGCATAAATTTCACACCAGCCACACCAGTTTAAATCTACGCACTTTCAACAACGTTCACTTTGTGACTTGGGCCGGCGCGCGCATGAGTTGGTAAATTTATTCCGGCGTTTCCAATGACATGCGACTGCTCCTTTTGCGATTCTGTGCATAGTTGTTCATATTTATTTTATCGAACTATATTACCGTACCACCGGGAGGCGCCACTTGACTTGGTGATAAATGCTGTGGTACATTTTGCTATAGGTTGTGGTACAAAAACAAAAACATATGATGTGCACAACATTTGCGTACATATTTTATGCATACTTACGGTTGCATAGCCGGGTCGCGCCCATGTGTAGATAAAGCCATCTTGGCACGCGGTTAGGAAGCAATCTTCGCGAAATATCAACGCCGAGAGTCGCTCGTGCGCGATTTTCTTGCATATCAGCGGCTCGAGCAGTGGGCATTCGTCGAAGCGTGGACACGAGGGTGTGCCGATCAGTTTCATGGGATCGTAGGAAGCCACTACAGCATTGGATGCTGCGCTCAGCGATGAGCTGTGTGAATGTGTATTGGATTTGCCCAGTTTAAGTGAACCGAAGCTATGCGCCGTCGTGCTGCTGCTGCCAATGCCGCCGCCGCCACTATTGTTGTGGTCGTTGCCGCTGGCTGTCGTGCTGCTGCCCGCACCATATGTTTGGTGGTTGTGATTGCTGTTATTCGTTTGGTTGTTGGACTTGAGCAGACTCATGCCCTTGCGATGTGTGCGATGCGTCGCCGCAATTTGTGACGCATCAAAGGAACCAGTTATTGAGGAGGTCGTCTTCTTGTCCGAGTTGCTAAGAAAGCTGAAATTCGAAAAGCGCTGCGTGAGGCTGTTGAATGCCGAGACGCTCGAATCTGAAGACTTGGTGGAACTATTCGAGTTCTTGCTGTTGTAGCCGGACGTGGAGACACTCGATGCGGTGTCCTTGTTGTTACCTTCAATGGAGTCCGATTTGGTGGCACTGATGCAGTTGGGAAATTTTATTGAGTTACCTGTTGCATTCGCCTTATTGTTCGTATTGTTCGCTTTGTTGTTATTCCCTGTTATATTGCTGCCGGCCGGCATTGCCTCATCCGGTGGCGTGTTGGCGTTCGACGATTGCGATGATATGGTACAATTCGCTGTAGAAAATTTACTTGAGCTGCTGTTGCTGTTGTTCTCAGGCGCTACTGTTTCTTTCGTTGGACTGCTGGTGTGTTGTGGTGGTGAGAAAGGTGCCGATATATTACCTATGGCTATTGGCCGTATCACTTTGATGCCATCCGCATCGATACCGCCGTTCATATAACTAGTATCGTTCAAATTAACACTATTGACTCGTTGACGCAGAGACAATGGGTGTCTCAGCACATCCTCTGTTATGTCCCACAGACAAATCTGCGTATCCTGACTGACCGAGCCCAGACGATAGCTTATCGCCAGTTTGTCCGGTGCCAGCGCCGCCGATGACGATGCATCCGAACGAAACGATGCTGAGTGTGGCCGCTGTCGTGTATGATTCGGTGTGGAGTTTTTCTCATGCGCAATGCTACTGACACCGGGTATGTAATCGAAGCCATTGGCCGTTGAATCGGCCGAGAAACGCGCTTCTCGCCCAATGCCGTATTCGTTCATTTGATTTTCGTCGTCGGAAAAGTCACCGCCATCCCAGTTGGTGTACGATGTGGTGTAGGGATCAAATGCCACCACGGATACCCATGAACGATGACCTTGACCGCGTGCCACTACACGTCGTTCGTGCAGCGACCACACCGTCACCAGGTCATCTTCACCGCCGACCACAATATATTTGCCATCTGGCGACCAACACACACACAAAAAGCCACCGAAATAGGAACGCGCTATGCCCAGCAATTCCATGGTGTCATAGTGAAAGACACGCAGGAAGCCATCCTGCGAGACGATGGCCAAATTGGAACCACATGGCGAGAAGCAAAACTCGTTGATGCAGCAATTCTCGGTGTTGAATATCCATTTGTATAGTGGATTACGCGTCGATTTCGATTTGCAGGTGAGTATTGTATAGCCGTCGCCCATTTTAAAGGGCTGATAGTTGGGCGCAGTCGGTGTGCAGGGGAGGTCCTCGTTGTATAAATACAGATTGCCTGATGCATGCGAAGCCAAAAATAAATTCGGTGAATTCGGTAACCATTTCAGGCATGTCACTTTGGTCTTGTCAATCAGCCGCTGAAATCAAAAGTTTAACTCATTATTTTGTTCTTATTTTTAAGCTATTATTTATATTATATATGTATACCTCTTCATTGTATAGCTTGCGTAGCTCACGTGGTCCTGGCTGTGGGGAGACAAGCTGGATTTGCCCTGTGGTGAAACCTACGAGCAGTGGCGCGCCAGTCGACGTGGCTGTGGTCGCGTTGAAGTCATGACAACTCGGATTGGTGCCTTTATAGAACTTCTTGTCGATCGGTTTGGTCATTTCTGCACCCTATAAAAAATAATAAACATTTAAGTTCAATTTCTTTACTTACGATTAACAAAATTACAAAACTTTATAAGTATTTAATTGAAGTATGTGCTTTAGTTAGTCAACAAAGAAACAAAAAAAAAAATTATTATTGGTTATTTGTAAAGATGTGTGTATATATTTAAATTAACTTTTGACAAGTTGCTTACGTCAATGTTTTTAAGTTAAGTATATTCTATTTTGATCCGATCTAAACTACTTCTGCAGAGATTGTTGTTGTTGAGATTATTGTGTTTCCTTAAACAATAAGCTTTGCCAAATTTTGTAAAGATATGTTCACAAATCCCGGCAAGAATCGGATCGATTAGTTTGTATGTCAGCTATATACAAAAGTGGTTGTTGTTGTCGTTTTTGTAGTGGCAGAATTCTACCGAGTTCACGTCCCAGACCGGAAACAAATTCAGCGTCTGTTCCGGTTATGTAGACCCGACAGTTGTGGGAATGTTACCAAAATGGTGCAATATCGGCGATTCCGATTGCTTTTTGGGGGAGGAATGTGTGTGCGAAATTTCGCACATATAGAAATGGACGGACATGTCTAAAGCGACTTAGCTCATCACGCTAATCAGTTATATTTGTCTCTCGGGAGGGTGATTAAACATTTTAACTCAGGTTATAAGCACAAGGTTATAAGTTATTAGCTTTGCCTGACGCATGTCTGTGAGTTGTTGCCATTGCTTTGCATTTCACTCTTCTTTGCGGAGCAGGTCCTTCATGGTATATGGACGACAGTCGGGTCTAAGTAACCGGAACGGACCCGAATTAATATCAGCAATGTTTTCTACCGCTATAATAACAACAAGAGCGGGGAAGCTGGTTGGCCAGCTCATTATCGCCTACCACATTGTAACCTGACACTAAAACTCTACAAAGTTACTTACCAATAGAAAGTCAATCAATTTAAAAACGTGATCTTCTGATATTATTAACATTATGCTTTCATATTTACTGAGTATTGTGACTGTTACAAAAAAAGATTAATATTACTTTGATTTATAAATTTTTGTCATCACAAATAATTTTTTTGCACTGTCATTGTGATAAAAACTAACATCAACATCTTACGATCGTTCTAATAGTGAAAGAAAAATTATTTAATAAATATATAGAGGTTTATGATATAATCACAGAAGCTCTGGTGTTATCTTAAATCACCGCTTAAGTAATGTAGAATTCATGATTTGCATTTGCGAACTGTTTTCAGCTAATTCATCACAATATGATAATGCCGTCGGTGAAAGTAAAGTCTGTAATTATTTGATGCCTCATTTATTAACTAATTACAATTGAAAGAGTAAGCAATTCGCGAGTTTTTACTTCCTAATACAGAAACATACAATATTCGTCTTCATATGTATGTGGGTATAAAAAATTAATTAGCGCAATTTTTGAGTTGATAAATTAGTTAATCGATAACTAATAACGGTGTCAACGCGTTGAAAAGCGTTTCATATGAGGTGTGGATAACAAATAAATACAATATACAAAAAAAAAAAAAAATACAATATAATGCGCTTACTTAAAAATAGCTTAAAATTCTTGAAAAATGTGTTACTGTGGATCAAGATATATTTCATAATCCGCTCCCACGTGGGTTCTAATAAATCGAAACGCACCCGCATTTTTATCCGGCCAAGGACTGTCAACTCTTTGCCATGACTCGAAATAACTTCAGAAATTTTTTCTACTACTACAACAACCAAAACATAATTTATAATCACAAATGAAATCCTTTTGACAGCTTAACTTTCTTAACATACACGCACTAGACGACATCAAGGTCTTTATTAAATAAATTTATGTGATAGTTCCCTTCCGGTGACTCGGAAATTTCCTAATAGGAAAGTAAACAGTTTTGTTGAGCTTTAAAAGTAACTTTCTTGTACTTATCTTTTCAAAGATTGGCCAAGCGGTAATTGTAAAGCCTTTATTCTATTTTTGGAAAATATTATTTATAGTAGAATGTTTATAAATATAATTTATTTATCATTAAAAACACAAACGGTTATTTGCACCAACATAAAACAAAATAAATATTTCACACAATGAGAAAAGCACAAAACCAGCTGGGCGCCTGCCCTCCCCTCTCGCGTACAATCCCGAAAACACCTAACACCTAAATAAAAGAGAAATGCTTAGCTTACTTCTACAGCTGGATGGAACCGGCCGCAAGCACGCAACCTTCAATTCATTAATCTTTGACGTATGATATATCTACTAGTATTATCGCTCCAGAAATAGACAAGTGTGCCTCTATATAAAATATCTATACATATGTATTTACTTATTTTGTGGCGTCTCAACTGTAATTATGATATGCGAATATGGCCATAACGTCAAAAGTGGATACATGCAAAGCGAAGAGATTATACACTAATAATATTAGATTAAAGAAAATATTTGTATATATGTATGTATATACTTATGCTTCTACACCATAGATATATGAACCCACTTCATTTGTTCGTTTACATAATTAGTTTAGAAAATTTTCAAAGTACAAAATGAACTAAGGGTGTGAACAAAAAAACGTTTACGGTATCATATACCCATGAAGTTGTATAGGGTACATTAGGGTGCCACCTATGATGTTTTTTTTTTTAATGTGCATAATCGGTTCTAATACAAAAACTACTTTTTGTTTCTTGAATTTTTTTTTTTAATATTTAGATATAATTTTTATTTATTTAATTATTTTATTTATAGTTCAATCCCACCTGACAATTTTCCTTCTAAAGTAAAAAAGTTTTCCATACAAGGACTTGATTTAGATTGGCCATTTTGTACGACAACTACACAGTCCATACTTAATTCGTGGTGCCTAAATAAAATCTTAGCTAAGAATTGTTACAGACTGAGTAGTCGTTTGCGTTTTACAGTCACTTTTTAATTTCTATAAAATATTATTATGATATATGGCAACGTTATGGGTAACATATGTTTTACAAATATCATCCATAAAAATATGTTTGAAATATTTAAATTATAACAGACAATACACAAATTCACTAGAAAATTTCTATCGAAAATGGATGAAAACAACAAGAGAACCCGAATTTCACCGCTAGCCAGTCGGAGCAACTATTGGAACTGCTGGAAATCCCAATCCGATTCCATATTTTATTCACAAAAAATTTCTTAAATTAGTTTTCTTATGAAAATAGCTGAAACTTCAAAACAATTCAAAACAAATTTCAGTACTTAAGCATAACTTAAGTATGAAATGTGAAACCGGGCATTAATATTTCTCTTAACAATTAATGATCTTTTTTAAAACATTTAGGATTGTGGTAATATTATATATCCACTACCGTAATCAAAAATATACTACCACCCTAATGCGACTAGTTACAATCAACTGCTTACAACTGCATTCAAGCAAGTTCAGCTTGTTGCTTTAAGCTCTAGATGAAACTAAAAAACGAATTTTGTAGCTTCTATGTGAAGTAAAACCCACAAGCGAAATTGTAAACAAAGGAACACACAACTACCTACATAGACTTATTTGATTAAAACATATTACGGTGAAGACGAGTACTTGAATATTATATAATAAAAAGTTGTGTTTTTCCCCTTTCTTGTCGATCACATTACCACCGAGAGTTTCTGATATCACGCTTGAAGACGCTATGACTGCCATAAACGGCAAGAACTTCATGATCAGCAATAGCGACATTCAACAGCGGCAGCACCCACCGCCGTCACCATCAATATACGCGATCATAAGAACTGTCAAGTTTAAGTTTGATTCGTGGCGATTATCTTTATAATTGTTGCGTAAGAGTTCAGTGTGACACAGCCGAGTGTTGTCACTGCTCATTTGAGTATCATTGTTGCTTCTGGGTAGTTATAGTATTAATGCCCACCGACGACTGCCATGTCTACATTTGCACAAGTGCATTCGGTGAATGTAGTTGTATTCAATTGGCGTTTTTGCAGTCGCAGCTACGTAAATGTACTTATTGTATGTGCGTACATACATATGTACATATGTAAATACTTTACTGCACTTGCCACTTTTATTGTTACAATTCGGAATTAAATTGTTGTTGATGGCAACGGCGCGCTATGGCCACCAGCGTTTACAATGTCTCAAACACGCGCCAGTTGCTCAGTAGTAGGGTAAACATATTACTGTATACATATGTATTGTATAAATGTATGTATTCTTTTGTATGTATGCACCCTATCGAAATAGAAGTGTCATCATAAATGGGGCAACGTACTGGACAACACTTTAAACAAACTAACCTCCTTGCAAGTGTTCTATAAATACTAACACGGCGACTAACGATTATTATCAGAACAAGTTTGTGTATTACTACCATATTTCGGAGTTTGAATGGAAATTTTTATCGGAATAAAAATTACATATGCATTATATACGCACATCTCTGTAGGATCTGTAAAATCTTATCAAACCCCTCTTCTTCATTGATCCACCCAGTGTTTTCAGAGCCTATCGCTAAATCACATCCATGCAGATATCGAAATTTTACTGCTACAGCAACAAACGTAGTGACAAACGTCCAATAAATGTTGGTGTAATTATTTATATGTACTTGAGTGTATGTAAGAAATTGAATTGAATAAAAATTGAGCAAATTCAACGCGACTGCTTGAGAATCAATTAAGTATATTCAATTGAAAAGTTTGCCATAGTAAAACTGAACGTTAGATAATTTCTGAATTTGATTTTATGAGTGTTTTTTTTGTATGTTACAAATAAAATAAATTTTATAAATAAAATATTTTCGTAAAAGAAAAAACGATGTCGTTGTTTAAATCTTTCCGTTTAATTAAAAAAAAAAAAAAATTTTATAACTAAAAAAAAAACTAACTTTGGCAGCTACATATATGCTATGCTACTCTGATCTACATAATTTTTTTGCATAATATATCGTTAGCGTGGATACTAATTTTATTTTTGGTCAAATAAAAAAGTTTTCAATATAAAAAGAGTTTTTCTATATAAACAACATTAGATCGATCAGTGTGTATGGAAGCTACATACTAAAGTGATCCAATAAATGAGCAGGAAGCTACTTTAAAGGGGTAAAAAGAACGTGTGCAAAATATCATATCGATTCTCAAAAGCTAACGGAAATACTTATATCTTATCTCGTTTTACTGAACATTTATTTATATATTTTATAAGGCCTCTGAAGACTCCTTATCTCTGTTACAAACTTGCTATCAGTCTTAATATTCCCTGTGAAGGGTATAAAAACAAGCAATGTAAAATATTAAAAATATCTTTGTAAACAAATACATAGATGTTTTCCTTTACGGTAACAAGTCTCGCGGCAGGTATAAGCTCAAACAAGCATGCCGGTAAATTTCAATTTGTAATTTCTCGATCACCCAAAACATTGCCTATTAGATGCCGCTTTAGAGCATCGTTTACAGCGAATGACTTTTTTTGTTGTTGTGGCAGAGCACACGACTAATCGAGCAAAGTGGTTAGCTGCTGCACACAACCGCTAGCCGCACAACAATTGCCCGACAAATTAACCGATTGTTTGCAAATCATTTGAATGCATTTTTATCCACAATCACACATATGTATACGTTGCAATGAGTAAACAAACTCGTTATATTTCAATTTCATTTGCCACAAGCACTGCAGTTGTTTTGCTTTTTCAATTTTATACCAAGCAAATTCATTTAATTTCATATTACAGCAGTTTGTTTTGCTGATATTTATGACAACATCTGTCTTTCTGTGTGAATCTAGCACATTCGTATTTTTGCAGGTTTGTTCTTTGACTTTATATTTGCGTACTACACGAGCAATTTAACATTATCCCAGCCACTACCAGTGACAATTGGTTGCAACTTGCAGCAAACAGCATGAATCAAAACAACAACACTTTGGTAGTGTGTTAACATTTGGCGATCGTCCATGGTGTGACTATGGGAGTTGTGTGAATGGCGCTCTCTGCTTTGCAGATGAAATGTCGGTATGCAGCAGCGACAGACGCGCATTAGATAAGATAAGAAGTGTGTTTGTTATTTATTTAAATTCGTGTTTAATTTATACTCAGACTTTTAATAGAAGTAGAGAAGAAGAATGGCGGTGTTACTTTTAAAATGAAAAGGTGGTACGTATGGATGCGCCTTATGATTGTGTAATCGCATTTAGAGCCCGAAACTCAGCTACGGCATCATAAAAAGATTCTACTAATAATCGTTTTCATTTATTATCTACGAACTACAAACATAAACTTTATGATTTTTTTTTATTGTTTTACTGTTACAAGTCATTTACCTTTTTCACTCCTCTAAATGCATAAACGTATAATTCCCTGCCGAAATTGAAACAAATCCTATCACCTCCATAGATTTGACTAGCCAGACCATTTTGTCCATCCGATCCACCGTTGATCATTGTATGCATAGAAATGCCCGCACCAAGTCGCGCATCCATGGTAGCTGGCACACCGTAAGCAGCCTGTTGTTGACCATTCACTAAAGAACCAGTGGCGGACGCATTGCTACCATTCGCAGAACCATCACCACTTCCTTTGGAATTATTTGTTGCAGAACCATTCACATTGCCATTTATAGAGCCAGCTACAGCGGTGCTACCACCACCGCTCGTACCACTTATTGTATTTGGACACGGGTTATTATTAGGCAGCGACACAATGGAAACACGCACTTGCGGTGAACTTTGATTGGTATTATAGCCAACACGATTTGGACGGGAGTACTCAGACAGCGTGAGTAACCGGTAGGTGCCTTCAAGCGTCACGAACTGAGTCTTCAAGTCGTCCTTGACATTCGGATCGAGTTGTGCGGCCATTACTCTGAATCTAATATTTGTTTTGACTTGCTGAAGGTTGTATTAGCCGACTACGCAAGCGGCTGATTGTTTTCAGCTAATGTGCTAGTGTTAAAGTAGGTAAGTGGGTGGCTTTGGCGAAAAGTTGTTCAAATACCTTTTAGCAAACCTCCTCCACCTTAACCCACCGACCGACTCGTTGTCGTCACAGCTCTTGTGGCACTCGCCACTGGCTTGCTATCCTCTAATCGTTTGATCACACACAACCACTCGACAACACAATATAATAAAGGAATGCTAATACACTTGCAAGTTATTTATTTGTAATTGTAAAATTCGTAACTTTTGCTATTAACTAAACTTGTTTCACGATTTATATGTAACGCGATATAAGAATTTTCTTTTGTAAGGGAATCACTATGACCACCAGTGCTATTCTTCCTGGCAGAAAGTGGGCTTGGGGGCGCGGCCGTATAAGCTGCTTTGCCACTGCTGCATTTGTTGTTGGGAGGAATTTTCTTTTCGCTTTTCACACTATATGCATTTTCATTCTTATAATTTCAAAATCGACCACACGACGAAGTCTCATTTTTTATTACACACAAATGTGACGTAAATTTTCGGTTACCAATTGGATTATTTAATTTATTGTAATCACTTAGTCCACCGCTATTTGTAATTAGAACTTTTTGCACTTTTTCACAATTTTCCGTCGATTTCTTGCGTTTTTACTTTCATTCTAATTTTTTCTTATTTTCTAATTGACATTTCTCGCTAATTTGACAGTTTTCTGATAAATTCTCCGATTTGACAGCAGAGCAGAATGTTGCCGTGCAACATTCCCCGGAACAGGTGACATCAAATGTTGCTTAACGACAAGTGCATAGCTATGCGTCAACAGGTGGCGCGAAATATTATTAGTTTCACATGCAGGTGGCGCAGCTGGTATTTTTGTTGGACGAGAAGTTTGGTTATGAATTCACAAGTGTTTTTCAAGTCCAAGTGACGACTACGATGCTCACTCAGAGAACTTAAAAGATATTTTAAACATGTTTTACATTCTCTGGCTCACTCGCTTATCGGTAATGCACGCTATGTTCATCGTTAATTTCACATCTTCGATTTTTTGTAGATATCTAAATCGAAGAATTTTTCTTATTTATAGAAAAATGTTGTATTAAAGGGTAGAAGGGAATCAGTTAGTATGTATTGAGCAAATAACGAAGAGACAGTGCTCAATGGCATTGACAGAGCTAATCAGTCAGTGTAAGAAGTTTGCCTTTGCAATACACAATACAATACAAATACATACATATAGACACATTCCTGTATAACTTTCTTTCATATTAATATTTGCCTATTTGTTACACAACCGGGGACTTACATTGAACTAAGCAAAGATATTTATAAAAATAAAAAATAAGATAGTCTTCTTCGTAAAAAAGTCTTCAGCATATAAAATGTTTACAGGTGACACCCGCGTGGTCATTCAAAGCTAATGCTACTTGGCGCATCCAACGGGATTTGCAGTTAACGATGCAGTTTACAAGTGAGTGAATTTTATTGTAAATAACTTTTACCACAGAAATGTTAACATTTTGCAGGCCACATACCGCTGCTCCTTGCGCTTAGTGCCAGCCTTTGCTATGCGTCGAGCAGCACGTACGATGGCAAGCCGGGTTGCAAGACGCCGGGTGAAATCGGTAATGTGTATAGAAACTTTTGGGATCCGATGCGTTATTGGCGTTGCATTGGTTTAGATTTGGAGCCGCTAGGCGAGAGTTGTCCCGATGTTACCGCCTTCCAACAGAGTTTGGGTCGTTGCATTCCGTGGCGATATTGGAAATGGGAGGTGCCAGTGTATCCGCCTAGTTGTCCCACTGGTGTTATGTGCATACAAACGGAGTCACAGCCTTCGTCATTATATCCCCAGCAGTTATATCCACAACCAACGCCACAAGCTTTATCACCAATAAGTCCGCTTTATCCAGGAGGACCGCAGCAAAATCTAGTACCTTCAAGTCCGTTATATCCTTATGCAGCGGCGCAAGCATTTGTGCCCACAAGTCCATTATATTCTCAAGCGTCGCCGCAATCCCTAGTGGCAACAAGTCCGTTATATTCTCAAGCATCGCAGCAATCCCTAGTATCAACAAGTCCGTTCTCACAACCACAGCTATCTATGAAGCCGCACTTTCTAGGTCCACTACCACCGCAGCCGTCACCGTCTCCCCAGATTGTGCATCCTGCTCAACCCTCGCAGCCTTTTGCGCAGCCGCCACAGTCTCCTTTGGTCTGGAGTTCGCCACATCTATCGCCGCAGTCTCAACAGGTACTGAATACACCACATCCAATGATTTCACCACGACCACAATACCCAGGAATTCCCAACGCTTAAACTGATCGACTATCCAGAGGAACTTAGAGAAGAGTTTCAGGGCTTGACTTTTATATAAATATGTATTCGTATTAATTTTATTAAAAAGTTATTACATTTGGTGCTGGTGAATTAAAGTCTTTTGGTCCGTGATTTTTTCTAACTTCTTCACGCCGCTGCAACTACAGCCAAGTAGAAGTGACTTTCTTAAAATTGATGGAGAGTCGAAGATGGCAGTCTAAGAATATTTTGCTTCTTAAAGATTCAAAAAGGGCCATGAGAACTTTATTATTTCTTCGGAAGATGTCAATAAACAGACTTGAAATCGCTTTCATACTGCTAGACATGGAATTGTGGGACGAGCTAGCCCTTAAACTCGGCCTAAAGAAACGGTCTACATTTTTTGACTAACTGAAGCTGAAATATTTTATAACAGGGTTCCTATTTTAAGTTTGCTTCAAAGTTAACTACACAAAAAGGAAACGTCGGAAACCCTAAAGGAAATATATAAATATATAATATATATAGTATATATATATATGAAACGTGATGAGTTGACTCGATTTAGCTTTTTGTCCGTCTCTCTGTCCGTGAAGTTATACCCGAAACAGACCCTGAGTTGTTGAGATATCGATCTGAAAATTTGCACATATCCTTTTTTCCCCAAGAAGCTGCGAATTTGTCGGAGTCGCCGATATCGTACTACTATAGCATATGGCTACCATACAAACTGACCGCTTGAACTCAAGTCCTTGTATGAAATTCTTACTTATTTGACAAGGTACCTTCACGAAGTTTGGTATAGATTATTTTTTAGGGCAACAATGTAATCTCCGAAGAAATTGTTCAGATCGGATTACTATAGCATATAGCTGCCATACAAACCGAACGATCGAACTCAAGTCCTTGTATGAAATACTCTTTTGTTTGTAGAGGTAGCTTCATCAAATTTAGCACAGATTATTATTCAATGAATTGCTGCAATATCTGAATAAATTATTAAGATGGGACTACTATAGCATACAGCTGTCATACAAACTGACTGATCACAATCAAAATAATTGATTTTTATGCACTTTTTTGCTAGCAGAAATAGACCTAACAAGGTCTAATAATATAACGGTGAATTGGAAGTTGGCGTTTTTTTTGTTTTTGTTTTTGTTTCACATTTTATTATTTTTAAATTTGATTTCCGCATTATTTTCTGCTTAAAAGTTAAGCGTACTAACATTTCCCTGCGTGCGTAGCAAGCAACAAATGCCTTTGCGAAAGCTCGCCAAAGCTCTCGATAGCTCACAACGAATGCACAAGGCACTTGTTCGTAGTTTTCCTAGGCCTCCCGCACTCGGTCAAATATTTTTCGTAAATCACATCTGCTTACAGTTAGTGTAACTATAAATTGAATGCCTTCGCTAGTAAATATTAACAACGAAATCAAATTTATAAGCCCAAGACACTAAAGAAAAAAGGTAAATATTGACGGCGTGGCAAATAAGAAATACAGTTATTTATGCAAGTATTAAACAAGTGTTCGTCAGCATCAACAAATAATTTGCTGCCCAAAAGTGCAAATGAAATGAATGTGTGTAATTAGCGTTGAATACATATGTGAGTGCGTGTGTGTGTGGGTGTTTTGGTCGCTGCAGGTGCCTGTGACTATTTTAACGCAATTTTTGCGGAGGTCAAGTGCATATTTTATATACTCGAACACATTTCTGCGTACATACTTGGCAAATGCTTATGGAATCGCGCCTAATTGTATGCTCTGCTGTTGGTTTGTGCTTTGTGCCTGTAGTTGTATTTGTAATTAAGCGTAGAGATGCTTGTTTCCGGTAGCTTTGCTGGGAAGTAGGTCAGTGGGGCGTGCCACAAGTACCACAATGCAAACAAACAACAGCTGCTCGAGACGCCCCGCACGACACACCGCGGTGCGCTGCAATCGTGCCGTTTGTTTGGTTGTCACGAATAACGGTGAATATGATACTGTTTTTATATGCGTGCATATGTTGCTTCGTACCCAGTAGGAAATGAAAGGCTGATGTCAATACTGAATTTACGTTTAAGTGAAGTTTAAGTGAATATTGAAGCTGAGAGAATAATTGGTTTTTAGTGAGTTCAAAATATTACTAATGGTTCCCCGAACTGACATATAGGTAGCGCTAGTAGACTTAAGTTCATATGATTTTTACTTATTCCTAAACTACTTGTGTACAAAATTTTGACAGCTGTCAGATCATTCGTTTGCAAATTATACCATTTTGAGTGAGGAACTTCGCGTGCTGATAAAATATTGCTTTTTGAAGGAAAAAAAAACACAGTTGAAGCAATTACTTGGCTCGATGACGAGTTTCGCGGCACTGCACCACGAAAAACAACTGTTGCAAAGTGGCTTGCTAAGTTTAGACGTGGTGAACGCAGTGGACGCTGACGATGTGATGATGATGACAGACTGTTCTAAGTAGCCGGAACGGATGCGGATTTTTATCCGGCCAAGGGCTGTCAACTCGGCACCATTCCTCGAAATATTTTCTAATGCTACAACAACAACGCAGATAGAGAGTTTTTTACCGACAAAAACATCAAAAAAGTCCACAAAATGATATGTGGCGGACTTTGAAGTGAAGTTTTTCGAGTTAGCAGGTACTCTAAAGGTATCAACTGAATCTTTACATCATAACATTCCCCAACATTTGGGTATGAGTAAGTTCGGTGCCAAGCGTGTTCCGCGCGAGCTCACTTTTATCCAAAAACAGCGACTTGTTGATGATTCGCAGTAGTGTTTGGAGATGTTCAAGCCTAATAAATCCGAGTTTTAGCAACGATAAGTGACAATGGATGAAACATGGCTCCATTATTTCACTCCGAAGTACAATCGACAGTCACCGAGTAGACTGCACTTGATGAACTCGCTCCAAAGCATGGATAAACGCAAATCGGCTGGCATGATTATGGCTGCCGTATTTAGTGAAAGCGATGCCTAAAATCCATGAATTTGGTTTTCTTGGTCGGAGACCTTTCAATTTATCTGTTCTGTGAATTTTTTATGATTTAAATTTCTCTATGAATCCATTGAAGCAAGAGTTTGAAGTGATTATAGCTTCTTATTGTATCAAATCATCAACTAATGTCACAATTTTCTCAGTGAAAATCATAAAAAACTTAAAATTGCTTCTTCGATTCGCCAAAGCTTTACTCTCCAGCGAATGGAGCAAACTGTATTAGTTGCTCAAACAAACAGTTGTGATGCCACGCTGCGCTAACATGTTTTCTGGTGCATGAGCGATAGTTTAATGATTCTTGCTTGGTGGAAAAATTCTTTTTATAATTATTTCTTAGTGAAAAAATTCTATTTTCGAATTTTTTAAAAAAATTTTGAGTTAAGATTTTTGGGATAAAAAAGAATATAAATAGAAAATTGGAAATCATTTGTGTTAAGCTTATATTAATTCAATTACTATTTCAAGTAATACTTGCAATCCTGTTCTTGGGTAGCTATTAAATGAAAATTTTTTATTTTTTTTTTTTAATTCTCGAGTGATGAATTTATTATATTATAAAATTTGTTTTGGTTATTTTTTTATATTTTTATTTAATATACTTTAWAAAAAAAAAAAAAAATATTCCAATTAAAGATAAAGTTGCGCTTTCAAATCATTACATTTCCTACAGGGCACACGCCTTGCGTTTCGCAAATGGCCTTGCCAGTATAAGGGTACTCAAGGTCACACATTTTGTTGCACTTGAGTTGAGACTTTCAAAATATTTTCTATTTACCAACAAGCATTTCTCACAATTGTACAAAGCCATTAAACAAACGTGCATATACTGACCTCTAAACTGCAATTAGGACCTGCCGGGCAAGGTGAGATTTTACAGTTATTCACTAAAAGCTCACGCGTTTGGCACTTTTTCGAGACGGTGTTTTTTTCACATTTGCATGCCACAATTAATTAATTACACTTTATCAACAAAACTTAAATATTATATAAAAAAAGCAGATAACTAATGTGTGAAAGTACATAAAATATGTATATGTGTGAAGCAGTTTGATGTGCGATAAAACTCGCCACTTAATTATGATAACTCAACATGCAATTATACCGTATTATACCGTTACTCCACGCTATATCGGTACATGTGTAGTTACATAAACACTACAGGAAGAAGAGCGAACGCTGGCGAGTAAGTTGAGTAAACGCCCTGTAATTGCTTGTTGTTCTTGTATTGATAAGATAAGTTTGATTTGATTGAAGGGAACAAATATGTATAAAAAAATAAAAACTACACCTACACCTTCACTGAAAGCACACTGTCAATGCGAAGGTGAAACCCAGAAGACGCTCGCAGTATAAACGTGACAACATTGAAGCTGACTAAGCTATTTCGAGGGTGCAGCGGGTGATGGTCGATTTTTACTGACTATTTATGCTGACAAATTTTAAGAGATGACAAAATGACATTTTTGTCGTATATTTCGTTAAATCATAGTTCTATCGGTTGTTTTTTAGGCTATTCTACTAGTAGTGTTCCAGTCTGGTGAAATCAGGTCCCTAACTTTACATATCCTGCACATAGAACCAGATGCATTCCAAAGTAAACAGGACTTTTTGAATCTGGCGTCCCCTGATGGCGCCACCTATATATATGCCGACTGGTGCGTTAGAATCTGCTACCTTTATCGATTTTCCAGTGAGAATTTCATGACATTTCATTGATTGAAAGTGACGTTATTACGTTTTAAGTGTCAGTATGTTTGTGTTACCGAAAATGAGCTTGGAACAAAGAGCCGACATTAAATTTTGTTTAAAACTTTTACCGAAACGTTTCAATTGGTGAAACAAGTTTATGGGGATGATTGTCTACACTGTAGCAGGGTGCACGAGTGGTTTCAATGTTTTCCAAGTGGTCGTAAGTTATAAATGACGATCAACATGTGGACCAATCGAAATCCGTGATCACCGGAAATTCCATCGAAACTGTGCGTGAATTCATCAAAAATTAGCCGATATTATAATAGAAATTCATGGAAATGGTATTGAACAGCTTCAAAACATCAATTTATCGCATTTTGACCGAACATTTGGGCTTACGAAAGGTGTGTGCACGGTTTGCTCCGACGAACAAAAATTGCTCAGAATCCAACATTCGATCGACACTTGTGACCGATGAAGAACTTGTGAAAAATTGTAACCATTAACCACTCCCCGTATTCACTTGATATGGCACCGTGCGATTTCTTGCTTTTCGGAAAAATGCATTTGCCCATGAAAGGAAAGTGTTATGCAGACCAAAGAGGCCATTCAAAAGGCTTGAACCAGCATACTGGCGGCTATACCGGCCAACGAGCTAAAACACTTGTTCGACATGCTTCTGGACCGTGCAAAAAGCTGCATTGAAGCAGAAGAAGATTATTTTCAATAAAATAAATTTATTTTGGCGAAAACCATTTGTTCTGTTTTTTTTTTAAGTCCTGTTTAGTTTGGAACGCACCTTGTATTTCCAACATTCTATTGAAATCAATCGAGATTCACCGAAGTACTCAGTGCTGATTCTCAAATTTGTGCAATTCTTGCATAACGCTGGAGACTACTTAAGAAGCTTTAATCAGAAATATTTGCTTTTTCTAGCCTACATATATGGAATATACAGTTATACAATTATTAACCACTTATAATTACTCTTAAATTGGAAAGTTTATAATCAATTCAATTACTAGGGAATTACCAAGTTACAAACGGCAATCAAAGTTTTCATGCCTATTCGCGCTGCACAGTGGTCTAGTTGCAGTTAAATGTTGACAAAAACAATCTAAGAAAAATTAAGGAGTTCGTTTTAATTTTATTATAAATTGAAATTAGAACGTCTATGGAAAAAGTTATCTAAATTTGTAATTTAGAATCAATAAGCGCTTAACGATTTTTGTTTAATATTTGAAAATGAGTTTAGATTAGATTTTTTTTTAACTAAAATCATGCTTAGACTGGTGCAGAAAATGATAAAAAGGAAACAATTTCATACTAGTAAGATGAAATCCATCGGAAACGAAAGATAAAATAAAAAATACTAAAGGGAAAATAATTTACGAGCGATCTGAGTTCGAGAAAAGTAAGGAGAGTGGCGTGGTTGAATTTTCAAGGTTTGTAAGTAAGAATGGCTATCACCAGCAAAACTACAAGCCCGATGTTGTAGGTAATGAAAAATTCTATAACTTTTCTATATAAGCTTTTTTTCATAAATTTATATGAAAAATTTTGGTTATTATTATCTCTTGAATCTCAATCATACTAATTTTTTTAATTTAAATTACAAAGGAGAAAACCTTATTTTGACTCAAGATTAAAAAGTCTCAAGTCAAATTACTTTTCAAAGTCAGCTTTATGTGATTAGAAATCTCTGCTTTCTGAGGGTATAAATATACATATATGGTAAACTTATTCAGAAAATGGAAAGGAAGATCAAGCCTTTGGGT